TGGATTCCGGTATATGTTTCGGTTTTGCTACCCGGTGTACTCGATCAACGAGGAGCATATCCGTTGGGATACCCCGGGCGTAAGCGCAGAGTAGGCCTTGTGTGTAGACTGGCAATTCTTCTGGAAGGACGGTCTCCGGGACCCCCCGCAGCCTCAAGTTATTTCGCCGAGCCCTGTCTTCTTGGTCTGCTATTCGGGTTTCCATGTGTTCCATTTGATGTTGCAGGGTTTGTAGTTGCCTCGCCATGTGCCCTTGTGTGGATGTCAGTTTTTCACATTGCTGCTCCACTGAGGTGGTCCTGGCTGAGAGGTCCCTTACCTCCCTCCTAATCTGTTCCGCCGTCGATTGCCAGGTGCCGATTAGCTTTGCTGCCATACCTTCCATGGCTTGTTCAAAGTATCCTCTTGTGAGGTGTTCTGCTGGCTGGGGTGTTTCTGGTGTTGTTTGCAGCATTGTGGCATCTGAGTCGTTCGCGCCATCTTGTAAAGCCGCCCTTGCAGTCTCATTTGCAGACTGTGATTTCTGTCCGAAGAAGCAAATTTTCTCTGCTTTAGTTGCAGATTTCTTCGTTTTGGAGTTGGCCATTATGCTTGTGGATGTGTTGGTGGTTTCAGCTATATTTATGGTAAGTTAGAGGGAGCCCATGTGTCGGAGCAAATTACTGAGCGGCCATCTTGCTCGGTGGTTAGCCACGCCCCTGTCTTCACAAAATATTTTAAAAGCATGGTGCGGTATCTTTGGCTTTACCTGGCTGGTGATGGAAGCAGCAATAGATTCTGCCCTGGAGGATGAATCCTGCAGTCTGTGTGCCATCACATACTCCTGCACATCCGCCATCAGTACCGTCAGCATTCCCAGAGGTACTGGCTGGGGTAGGAACTCCAGTCTGGTTCTCATCGCTTTCTGGAATGGGGTCTCTTCCATGTTGGGTGTAGGAGTAGCACTGCGGGCTCTGTCTCCCTCCATCAATTCGGCAATAAGCACAGCTTTTGACTTATTGCTGGCTATCTTACCCCGGCTTCCAATAGCTCTTTCAGCGTTTGCCGTTTCAATGTAGTATAATCTATCTCCATTCACTTCTGCATTCGTTTCATTGTTGCACACGAATTGCCATTCACTTTTCCTGTTCGGCAGTTTCGATAGCACGAACCATGCTTTTCAGCTGTAAGGTTGGATCCCGTCGCTTGCCACCAATTGTAACGGAGCTGCAATAAGGTTGGATCCCGTCGCTTGCCACCAATTGTAACGGAGCTGGTAAAATAAGGTAATCCAAGGAAAGCGCTGAAAATGAAGGCAATATCCCAAATCCCCCCAGTAACCGGACGAAACACAGTTCTGGGAGTCAACTTACGATTTTATTCACAAGCTCCAGTATTTATGCGGTTTCCCATGCAAGGGGTTTCCTTACTGACTTTACAGGGGTTGTACAGTAGGGGACTACATGGGGGACTTAACATACAGAACATTTCTCCCACCATGCACTGCTGTACGAGAGGGATACTCCCACTAGAATATCCTGTTAAGTAGATTATCCCTCCATACAGCAGAACCGGCTTTTCACATAAAAATCCATAACTTACATATTATTCGTGCCATTGTACCGAATGACCGTTCAGCAGATAGCTGGGGTCTGAGCGCATACTTCGTGAAAGTACCACTCAGATCCCAGCACAATCAGCCGAACGCTGCACGAAATACACTTCAATATACATTCCTCATAAAAGTCACGAATACACAAGTGGGGAAAAAGTACCGAAAGACTGGCGCTCCCGAACGGCCTGGAAGTCCAGCGGTGTCCGTGCCGTCGAGTAGCTGATTTTAGTTCCAGGCACTCGAAGACCAAACACCGCTGGGAAAAAAGGGAATCCAAGATGGCCGCCGCCTCGTGGTCGGTAGCCGAACGATGGCCACCCTGTGAATCTATTAACAGCCGATGGATACATTGTTGCAATCAGTTAATGTGAGCCACACGACCCCCTGTGTGTGGGCTCCCATTCGGTACTTTGTTCGTTTCACGAACAGTGTTGAAAATCACTGTTCGTGAAACTATCATGTGAATGCTAGCGGCTTTCGTGCCACTAGCATACGTATTCCCTCTTTCACATTTTAAGCAAACACATCAAACATCATATATAAACGAGTCTTTCTAGGGCAACCCTCAAAGATAAACAAAATAGTCTGAAGTGGCTACGTTTGCCACAGCTACTAAACTGGTTCATGGATTGCAGGATAGAACTTACCAGGAAAAGTTAAAGGATCTTAACATGTATAGCTTGGAGGAAAGATGAGACGGGGGATATGATAGAAACATTTAAGTATATAAAGGGAATCAACACAGTAAAGGAGGAGACTATATTTAAAAGAAGAAAAACTACCACAACAAGAGGACATAGTCTTACATTAGAGAGACAAAGGTTTAAAAATAATATCAGGAAGTATTACTTTACTGAGAGGGTAGTGGATGCATGGAATAGGCTTCCGGCTGAAGTGGTAGAGGTTAACACAGTAAAGGAGTTTAAGCATGCGTGGGATAGGCATAAGGCTATCCTAACTATAAGATAAGGCCAGGGACTAATGAAAGTATTTAGAAAATTGGGCAGACTAGATGGTCTGAACGGTTCTTATCTGCCGTCACATTCTATTCCGGTATAAAGGAACTTGCTGTGTATTGCCGTCATAAAGGAACTTGCCGTGTATTGCCGGTATAAAGGATGGTGACATGCATTGCCGGTATAAAGGAATGTGCTGTGTATTGCTGGTATAAAGGATGGTCCCGTATATTGCTGGTATAAAGGAATGTACCGTGTATTGACGGTATAAAGGATGGTGACGTGCATTGCTGGTATAAAGGAACGTGCCATGTATTGCCGGTATAAAGTAGGCATGTGGAAGAATTTTGGTTCGGTTCGGCATTCCGAAATTCTGGACTTTCGCAATTCGGGACTTCGGCAATTCAGCACTTCAACACTTCGGAACTTTGACACTTTGGAAATTCGGCAACTTCGGCACTTCTCTTGCAGCCGCTTAGTAGATAACTCCCTAATTCCCACGGTATTAGGGAGTTATCTACCAAAAGGCTGATATACCTAAATTGGTCTTTCAGACAAATTTACTAAGTAAAAATTACTTAGTATTAGTAAATTTCGCCCCTACTCGCTCTACCGCGAGTAGGGGCATGTCTAGTAAACAGCTGTGGCTGCTCACTGTTAAATTTTTTTTTTTTAAATAGACCTATTGCCCCCCCGGCCCCCACCCCTGAGCGGCGGGTGGGGGCCCTAAATTAAAATGATGGAGAGGGACCTATTGTCCTCCCCCCTGGCCCTCACCCCTGAGCGGCGGGTGGGGGCCCTAAAACCTAATAAGGGGGGGGAGCTAATGTCCTCTCCACTGGCCCCCACCCCTGAGCGGCAGGTGGGGGCCCTAAATAATAATAAGGGGGGGACCTAATGTCCTCTCCACTGGCCCCCACCCCTGAGCGGCAGGTGGGGGCCCTAAATACTAATAAGGCGGGGGACCTAATGTCCTCCCCCTGGCCCCCACCCCTGAACAGTTTGTGTGGGCAGAGGGCGAGCAGTTAGTGTGAGCAGAGAGCGAGCAGTTAGTGTGAGCAGAGGGCGAGCAGTTAGTGTGAGCAGCGGGCGAGCAGTTAGTGTGGGCAGAGGGCTAGCAGTTAGTGTGAGCAGAGGGCGAGCAGTTAGTGTGGGCAGAGGGCGAGCAGTTAGTGGGGGCTGAGAGCGAGCAGTTAGTGCGGGCTGAGGGCGAGCAGTTAGTGCGAGCAGAGGGCGAGCAGTTAGTGCGGGCTGAGAGCGAGCAGTTAGTGCGAGCAGAGGGCGAGCAGTTAGTGCGAGCAGAGGGCGAGCAGTTAGTGTGAGCAGAGGGCGAGGAGTTAGTGTGAGCAGAGGGCGAGCAGTTAGTGTGAGCAGAGGGCGAGGAGTTAGTGTGAGCAGAGGGCGAGCAGTTAGTGTGAGCAGAGGGCGAGCAGTTAGTGTGGGCAGAGGGCGAGCAGTTAGTGTGAGCAGAGGGCGAGGAGTTAGTGTGAGCAGAGGGCGAGGAGTTAGTGTGAGCAGAGGGCGAGCAGTTAGTGTGGGCAGAGGGCGAGCAGTTAGTGTGAGCAGAGGGTGAGCAGTTAGTGTGAGCAGAGAGCGAGCAGTTAGTGTGAGCAGAGGGTGAGCAGTTAGTGTGGGCAGAGAGCGAGCAGTTAGTGTGGGCAGTGGGCGAACAGTTAGTGTGGGCAGTGGGCGAACAGTTTGTGTGGGCAGAGGGCGAGCAGTTGGAGCTCTCTGCATTTTTAGAAATGTAAGAGTAAACTCTCCCCAAGAGCTTGCAATCTAGCAGAGCTGGCAGAGTGCAATAGAGAGGTTTATTTTTTTTGGGGGGGAGGGAATTATCTGATCTCTAATCTTAGTGGATTACTGGAGGGAGGCTGTAGCAGACAGACACTCCACAGGGAGGCTGACTATCTAACAATGTAACACCTTCCATGCCAATTATCAATCCCTTCTGATCCCTATATAACACGTGTGAATACAATAACAGAGAAATAATATGGAGTAGCAAATCGAGAGTTTTGGTGAAGTTGCTTTATAATATTATAGCATGCAGTTATTACATAACATGACGTACTGCAGGATCCTACATCCTGCTTGGCCGTGTCATTACAATTAATAATAATAAAATCCAAAAATCAATATTATTATATAAAATTATACAATACAATCAATGAATCGACAAATAATGCTATTATACAATGAATAAATCTATAATAATATTATATAATTAAATTAATAGATCCATAAATAATATTATACTATTACATAATACTATTATTCAGTGATTTATTAATGGTATTTTATAATAATACAATTAATAAATCAATGAATAACATTATTACATAATACAATTAATACGAAAATTTAAACATGAATACCACATTCTATGCATTAATTATGCATGCTAAGAAAAAATTCATAGATATACCGCTCTTCTAGCTATTCGGTAAGTAGAGTTCCAGCGTTCGTCTGTTTGAGACCGGTGTTCGGGAAGTCGAGTGTCCGTTTTCAGTTCCATACACTCGACGACCAAGTCCCGCTGCCTTTGTTCGCATGAACAAAGATGGCCGCGGTTTTCTCTGCCACGTGGCGTTCGGCTGTACGAACGCTGGCCGCACAGACAGAGGTAGCAATTGAATCAGTCTTTGATGTTTAACGAGCCAGAGGGGTGGTATTTGTTCGGTAGTTACATCTACCGAATGCAATAGGCAGAAATAGTGTAACAAAAGGGGGATTTCTTCACATTCATAATATATACACAATATTTACAACCACTGGCCATCCCTTCATAATTTCATATATTATACACCAAGCACAAGTTCATGGTATGTACAATGATTATTTATAACTAATTACAGTCCTGATATCCCATACGTGTGGGGATAAGATACCCCAGGTGGATCCACCACCTGTTAATGTACTGAGAAGCTGTAGAAGGAAAAAGAAAGAAAAAAGGCAAAAACAATTTTTTAAAATGGCAAAAAATAAAAATAGTTAAAAAGAATAAAAAAGGAAAAATTGCTATTATTGGCAAATAAAAAAATGAAAAAAAAACGGAAAAAGAAAAAGAGAAAAGGAAAATATAAGGAAAAGTGTCTGTAAAGCAGTCCAATTGTGAAGACTAGTGCACTGAAAATTGCTTTATATATGGTGTAGCGGAGGAGCAGGGGTTAATCCAAGGGCTCTCCGCTGGGAACAAAGATTCAGCATACAAAATCACAGGAACATAGCATAATCCACCTCCGCAAGGACTAGACGACACATAGTCTGGGAGTCAACTGTCAGCTTTAATCACAGGTCTGCTTTTATGCATTTCTCCCATGCAAGGGAGGTAACTTTCATAATTATTACAGTAGCCAATTGTAACACGGTCACCTCCCATCCCTCTCCTCCCCTTAGATTAGCCCTTAAACAGATTAGTGGGGACAGAGTTTTCCCCACTTTCTAGATGTCCCCTAAATACAGGGGGTACAGGGACAAATAAGGGGTCCCCTGGTAGATCCGATCTGGGTGAGCAACATACTCGAAATTCACCCAGATCGGACCAGGGGTTCGGGAGTTACAGACAGTTAAAAAGTTTTGACTGACCGCAGGGACTCAGTAGTCGGTCTATTTCAGTGAATTAAAAATACCGAATAACAGCCATCCATGCGATTGCAAGCCTTTGCACGAATCCCCTCGTTTAGGGGAATCTATCTACCGAACGCCGGGGCATTCGTGTGTTTGATTCGTGCTGTTGGAGCACGCTGGAGGTCTCAGCGGTACTTGGTTAGTCGAATGCCCGGTTTGAGTTCCAGGCGTTCGACAACCAAGTACCGCTGTTCGTGCGTAAGATGGCCGCCGCCACGTGTTCGGTATGCAAAATGGCGGCCACACATACAGGCACTTAATTCCCTCACAACATTGTATCGTTCAGTTAATTGGAAACACACGACCACCCCGGGGTGGTCTCACGTTCGGTAGTTTCGGCCATTCGCCTAAAAACAGCAATATAACAAGAAAGTCCATTCGGTTAGTTATTCCCTTGGTGAAAGTCCTTCATTCACACAGAATGATCAGTTCCAGTGGCAGGGTTTGCCACATATGGGTGGATCTCACCAACAGTAGTGATGTCTTCGCTGGGATATGCTTTTGTTGTATTGAAGGTTTTCCCAGAATGTGGAAGGGGTAAGCCAATGTAACAGTCGGGAAGAGAGTCCAGTGAAGTTCTCGTATAAGGTGAGTCAGACCGATCGGCAGCAAGACGGTCCTGAAAGTAATCAGCTGAGCGGCAATAAATGGACGAGGCGAATCAGCTGTTCAGCAGCAAGCGGGCTGCGTGCTCGGGACATCCACGTCCCTTCGAAGGCAGCGGCCTATCAGTACATTAACAGGTGGTGGATCCACCTAGGGTATCTTATCCCCACACGTATGGGATATCAGGACTGTAATTAGTTATAAATAATCATTGTACATACCATGAACTTGTGCTTGGTGTCTGATATATGAAATTATGAAGGGATGGACAGTGGTTGCAAATATTGTGTATATATTATGAATATTGTGTATAAATTATATTTTTTCCGCAAACTCATCTATGAATTTTTTCTTAGCATGCATAATTAATGCATAGAATGCGGTATTCATGTTTAAATTTTTGTATTAATTGTATTATGTAATAATATTATTCATTGATTTATTAATTTTATTACTATAAAATACCAATAATAAATCAATGAATAATATTATTATATAATACAGAAATGTGTTAGATTGTCAGGAAGGAGGCTCACTGAGAATCAGACCAGTGGCAGCCTTTGGATGTGACCCCAGGGAGAGTTGGTAGATTGGCAGGAAGGAGGCTCACTGAGAATCAGACCAGTGGCAGCCTTTGGATGTGACCCCAGGGAGAGTCGTTAGATTGGCAGGAAGGAGGCTCACTGAGAATCAGACCAGTGGCAGCCTTTGGATGTGACCCCAGGGAGAGTTGGTAGATTGGCAGGAAGGAGGCTCACTGAGAATCAGACCAGTGGCAGCCTTTGGATGTGACCCCAGGGAGAGTCATTAGATTGTCAGGAAGGAGACTCACTGAGAATCAGACCAGCGGCAGCCTTTGGATGTGACCCCAGGGAGAGTTGGTAGATTGGCAGGAAGGAGGCTCACTGAGAATCAGACCAGCGGCAGCCTTTGGATGTGACCCCAGGGAGAGTTGGTAGATTGGCAGGAAGGAGGCTCACTGAGAATCAGACCAGTGGCAGCCTCTGTAATTGATGCCAGGGAGAGTTGTTAGATTGTCAGGAAGGTGCCAGTCACGTTTTATATCTATTCCCTCAACAAAGTTAACAAACAACTGCAATGCTTTACAGGGTGACATACTGACGCTCTAACCCACTCCCAACAACCCCTATAGGGAAATGTATTATGTGTCCACCACACCTCCAAAAATAAAAAGAATGGAAGCCGTGGGCTAATACAATCAATCTGAATTAAATGTAGCGGTGGGAAGCCAAGCTCTGTAGTTGGAGACAAAGTAGGTTGTGATAGGTATGTTTTCAACATTTTAGAAGCACTTCTCTGGGATGAAGGGGCTTCACTGATTCCACTTTAAACCATTTGCTGTTTATGGTTGCTGCTCATTCTGTCAGCTTCTGTCTTTAACACCATGACCACTGACACCAGCTAAGGAGGAGGATCTCTGATGGACATGGACAGAGGTGCTGCCATGTATATAAGGAATTTCACTCGTTTGAATTATTTCTCCCATTCTCCACTATTTATTTGCATCTCATGCACTTTACTACTAATCTGTCTTTCCACATAGGCAGGATGATACTCCTCACAGCAAAATTTCCCTTTATTCTCGGCTCACAAATGGTGGTCTGCATTAACTCTAGAGTAGTGTCCATCATTTCACGCATTTGACCTTTCAATTCCTCTTTTAACCTCCTGATAAAAGCAGCCAAGTCTGGATGCAGCATCTCTCTAGATTTTGTCTTAAGGGTCTCTAGGATTGCTGGTTTTGACTGGCCGGCCGGCCACGAGATGCAAGCCCAGTTACAGTTACATGGAAATCGGTGCTACAGCCAGTCTCCATTCGGGGTACCCATACGAACACCGTTGAAGATATTCCCTTGCTTCCAGGGAGCAAATGCTCCCCCCGTCGGTGGTTCCTATCTCCCGAACATCGTTCGTTTAGCTGTTCGGGAAGTGGAACAGGCAGTGGTACAATCTTTACCGGGGTTCGTGCGAATACATAGCCAAAAAGAGTTTCAGGCACTCAACGACCAAGTACCGCTGCCTGCGTTCTGGAGACAAAATGGCCACCAACCTTTCGAAAATTTGCGTTCGGTTACACAAAATGGCGGCCACCCAGGGGAAGCACGTATGTTAATCTGTGTTCCAGGGTTCTAATGAAGTACAGGGGTGGTCCCCGTTCGGGAGTCGAACTAAGTGGGTTTCGGTATAATAACCCAAATGGACAAAAAACTAAATTAGTCCAAAGAACGTACATTCCGCTACACAGCTCCCCCTTAACCACAAGCCGGCATACACAGTATGATCCTCACGGATCAGCTTGGGGATGTCGAGGAGTACTCACGGATCACTTGTCCAGTTCTGTCTGTCGTGGTAACCCGTTGGCGTTTCCATTCTTTTTACCAGGTCCATAGTGAATGGTAAAGTCATATGGCTATAAAGCCAGGCTCCAACGTAATAGCCTGGTGTTATCCCCAGCGACCCTGTTAAGCCATACCAATGAGTTGTGATCCGTGAGTAGGGTAAATTGTTGTCCATAGATGTATGGCTGAAGCTTCTTAAGGGCCCAAACCACCGCAAGATACTCCTTTTCAATGACAGCGTAGCTCACCTCCCTCGGTAGTAACTTTTTTCTGAGGTAGGTGTTGCAAGGACTCTATATACTGTTACAACATAACCTTCTTTTGATTAAAACCCCTATTATGTCGGTGTTCAGACCATACGAACGCATTGCACGAACCATTATAAAGACCTATTCGTCTGTACGAACATGTGACCACCCAGTCCTTGGTGTGTGCCGCCACTTAACCCCGTCAGCTCTAAAATTACCGAATGACCAACCACCCTACGGGCGGAGTGTACCGCTCATTAACCGCCTTTGGATGTGACCCCAGCGAGAGTCGTTAGATTGGCAGGAAGGAGGTTCACTGAGAATCAGACCAGCGACAGCCTTTGGATGTGACCCCAGGGAGAGTCATTAGATTTTCAGGAAGGAGACTCACTGAGAATCAGACCAGCGGCAGCCTTTGGATGTGACCCCAGGGAGAGTCGTTAGATTGGCAGGAAGGAGGCTCACTGAGAATCAGACCAGCGGCAGCCTTTGGATGGGACCCCAGCGAGAGTCGTTAGATTGGCAGGAAGGAGGCTCACTGAGAATCAGACCAGCGGCAGCCTTTGGATGTGACCCCAGGGTGAGTCATTAGATTGTCAGGAAGGAGACTCACTGAGAATCAGACCAGCGGCAGCCTTTGGATGTGACCCCAGGGAGAGTTGGTAGATTGGCAGGAAGGAGGCTCACTGAGAATCAGACCAGCGGCAGCCTTTGGATGTGACCCCAGGGAGAGTCGTTAGATTGGCAGGAAGGAGGCTCACTGAGAATCAGACCAGCGGCAGCCTTTGGATGTGACCCCAGGGAGAGTCGTTAGATTGGCAGGAAGGAGGCTCACTGA